GGGTCTTGTGATAGAAGAAGAATGGCACTCTTCAGGGAATTAGAAAGGCCTCCCTGGTGAGCGCTTCTCAGAAAGGGTCCCTTCTGCGCCTGGACGAGGCCCCAGCCAGTTACTCATTAACGCACAAGGGTGTGATTGCTGAGGGGCTCAGAGTGCCCGTTCCTGTGGGTGGAATAATTAGGAAAAGACCAGTGGTGATGATCCCACAACATGATGTTCTCCTGGCTCTTGTTTCTTGGTGGTATGAGGTCCCCCTCCTCTCTGCTTACTTCTCTCTTTTCCATCTCAAAAGAGATTGACTCAAGATACAACCTAATCCTGTGGATTCAGTCCTGCCTCATTAATGTAACTGCCTCTAATCCTGCCTCATTAACATCATAAAAATCAAACTCATTGCTCTCCAGTCGATTCTGACTCATAGTGACCCTACAGGACAGAGTAGAACTGCCCCATAGAGTTTCCAAGGAGTGGCTGGTGGCTTTGAACTGCTAACCTTTGGGTTAGCAGCCAAGCTCTTAACCACTGGGACACCAGGACTCCAAAATGTTCTCAGACACAGTCAAATGTCCCCTGGGGGGAAGAGGGAATTGCTCCAGGGCAAGAACCGTTGACTTAGGGCGGGGGCACAGGTCCAGGGCCCCTCTGAGTTACACCACAGAAAGGCCCTCAGATGGCCTGTGGAAAAGCTGTGGCTGCTGGAACATTTGCAACGCCTCTGTGAAGTAACCACAACCTGGGCTGTGACTTAACCACACTGTGGACCTCTCCAGGCTTGGAGCCCCGGGCAGCCTCCAACTCAAAAGGCCACAGCGGCAAAACGTGGAAATAAAACAGTTGTGATCCTCTAGGTCAGGGTCAGCAAACTGGTGCCCGTGGGCCAAATCCTGCTGCTTGAGAGCTGAGAATGATTTATACATTTTTAATGGTTGAAAGCAAAACAAAAGGAAGAGTATGATTTCATGGTCCATGAAAATTATATGAAATTCAGATTCCAATGTCCATAAATCAAGTTTTACTGACATTCTGCCACATTCATTCATTTACGTATGGTCTATAGGTGTTTTTAAGGAGCCCTGGTGGTTAAGTACTTGGCTGCTAACCGAAAGGCTGTTGGTTTGAATCCAACAGCTGCTCCACGGGAGAAAGATGTGGCAGCCTGCTCCCATAAAGATTACAGCCAAGGAAACCCGATAGAGCAGTTCTACTCTGTCACATGTGTCCGCATGCCACATGCTATGTAGTTTTATGCCGATCTTCCTTCCAAGGCTTTCTTTCAAGCACAGTGATTTCAATTAAGGAGCCCTAGTGGTGCAGCGGTTAAGAGCTCAGACTGCTAACCAAAAGGTCGACTGTTCGAATTCACCAGCTGTCCTTGGAAACCCTACAGGGCAGTTCTCTCTGCCCTATACGGTTGCTCTGAATTGGAATTAACTCAACGGCAACAGGTTTGGTTTTTTTTTTTTTTGAGTGGGGGGTTTGGTTGTGCAGTGGTTAAGCACTCAGCTGCCAACCGAAAGTTCAGCGGTTCGAACCCGCCAGCCACGCCACAGGAGAAAGAAGTGGCAGGCAGCTTCCTTAAAGGTTACAATTTTGGAAAACCCTATGGGGCAGTTCTGCTCTGCCTAAAGGGTCACTTTGAGTTGGAATTACATCGAAGGCAATGGTACAGCCATTTGAATCCACCAGCCGCTCACTGGAAACTGAGATGCAATTAATTACTTTTGTGCGTGGCTTTTCTAGCCATGAGCTTGTAACTCCCACCCAGGTGATTGTGATACGGTAATCGTGGCCTATCGAGGCGATGGGTCAGTTTTGCCTTAAAAGAGAGCCAATTCCACAGCAGAGGGAGGAACCCACCACCACCAAGGAAGAAGAGGCCAGCAGGAGAGACCAGGCAGCAGGGGACAGCGCAGTGGGCTTCCCGGCCCACAGAGGGAGAAAACTGAGTCCCTGTGGGCAGACACTGAGGGCCAGGGAGAGGTGTGCCTCCGAGCACAGCTGGGAAGAGGCTGTCCTGATGGAAGAACTGTATCCTTGGGTGTTCCTGAGCCTGAATTGTAACTGTTACTTTCCTAAGAAACTCTGTAATCATGAGTATGGTCTGTGAGTTCTGCGAGGCCACTGCAATGAATTATCGAACCCAGTAGAGTGCTGTAGGAGGGACGGCTGGCATCAGAATTGGTAGAGATGGTGGAGAGAGGAGGCTTGTCTGGCCTCCACGTCATAGGAATCCGCCTTGGGCTGTTGATCTTGGTTCTCCCTCCCCTTTGTGGGGCTGGAGGAGGCCAGACACTGCCCCGAAGCCATTTTTACAGAAACCCTATGGGGCGGTGCTACTGTTTCCTATAGTTGCTATGAGTCGGAATCGACTCAACGGCAACAGGTTTTTGGGTGATGCGAACGGTTAAGCGCTTGGCTACTAACTGAAGTGCTGTGGAGTCAACTCCAACTCATGGCCGCCCCATGTGTGTCAGAGTAGAACTGTGCTTTATAGTTTTCAAGGCGGTGGTCTTCTGAAGTAGATTGCCAGGCCTTTCTTTCGTGGCACTTCTGGGTGGACTCAAACCGCCAACCCTCCAGTTAGCCGAGTGTGTTAACTGTCTGCACCACCCTGGTGCAGCTCCCATCCTGACTTGTGACACCCCAACATGTGGACTTTCCCTGTGAACATATCATCCATGGTAACACCAAGATCTAAGAAAAATACCATCACTTTTACCATTATCATGGTCCACTGTGGATGGCACTCAAAAGGGGCATGTGTTGTTCAAATCATATCAATTCAATGGGAACACTGATTAGCCTCACCTTCTTAAGCACAACACCCACTGCAGCTAGAAAGAGTATGTTCTTCACAGATTATTCCAGAAATACTGATGACTGCAGGTACTGTGGTATGCAGGACCTGGGTCTCCTTCTGAGGACGCTCCTGAATGACCACTGGCGTACAGAAAGCGCACGACACTGTGCTGTTAAGTGCTACAAAAAAATTCTGACAGTTACAAGGCCGAACACAAACGCCTCATGCACAACAGGAATTCTCTAATGTGTGCTCAATTCCATTATATTGAGGGCTGTTCTACCCAAGTACTGAATTAATACCCAGTCAAAACACTGAATGAGAAACAGACCCCCTTCCTCATCTTCTCGCTAAAATTTAGAAGATGGTTCAACTGTATTTCAAAAGACAGTAACAGATAGTGCTACCACTTGGAAAAGTTTGGCAGTCCCTCAAACGGTGGGACGTGGAACTCCGATATGCCTGGGCAATTTCACTCCTAGGCACATACCCCACTCCCCCCAAAAAAACGTTGCTGCCATCAAGTTGACCCTGACTCACAGCAACCCTATAGGACAGAGTAGAACTGCCCCATAGAGTTTCCAAAGCTGTCAATCTTTACGGAAGCAGACTGCCACATCTTTCTCTGCAGAGCCGCTGGTGGGTTTGAACTGCCGACCTTTCAGTGAGCAGACAAGTGCTTAACCACTGTACCACCGGGGATCCACAGACACATACGCAAGACAACTGAAAACATATGCTCATACAACAACATGCACAGGAATGTTCATAGCAGCACTATTCCCAATAGCCCCCAAATGTAAACAACCCAAATGTCTGCCAACAGATGAATGAATAAACAAAATGTGGTCTCTCCATACAATGGAATATTATTCAACCCTAAGAAGTAATGCAGTACTGACACAGGCTACAACGTGGAAGAACCGTGAAAACAGGCTCAGTGAAATAAGCCAGACACAAAACTTGACTTAACATTGTAGAATATACTACTTTTATTAACCAACGATACTTTTCAAATATCTAAACAAAATATCAAAATTCTTCAACATGCTTACTTTGTTAGAACAACTCACATACGTTTCTGGTTTTAAGCAAAAAGACTTCAAAGAATAAGGTTCTTATTTTAATTAAACTTAAGTCTACCACTTTAGTTATGGTTGGTTCTCTTAAAACAGCAAAGCAAAATCCTTCCTAAATATTGATCTTTATGTTTTTAAGTTATAAACATAATTAGTTACCAGAAACTCAATGGTTTTTTCTTGTTTTTCTTTTTAACTAGAAAAGCATTAGATAATCAGAAAATACAATAATAATAAAACTCCCACTCCCATCTACCAAAAGAAACTTTTACAGACCTTTTTTTGGGGAGGTGGGATAGGTACACATCAGCCTTAGTTATGGATGTGGGCTCCAACTTTTGACACCAGTTATACCTGCAACCGTTTAGTTGTCTATCATCATCTCATTAGATCTACAAATGGTAAGGTGCAAGTTTTTCTAATACGTCTCAAGGTTAACTGGCACACCAATTTGCAGACAGACACAAATCATATTAAGAAAACTAATAAAGCACAGCGTTAAGGTACAGGAGCCAAATAAAATCCATACTCATGTGTCCAATTACAATTAACTTCTCAGGTTAATTATAATTCTCAGTGTCGACGAGAGAGATTGATTTTAGAATGTGGCATCTTTTCGTGGTAAGACCCAGAAAAGCTGACCACAGATTGTTCAGTATTCAACATTCATACAAGGCTAGTACAAGCCCACTCCATCACCCAGAAGACTACACAGCTCATCATGATTTCATTACGTTCTGTCCAAACCATTAACTCAACCCGTGGCCGTCAAGTCAATTCCGACTCATAGCAACTCTACAGGACAGAGTAGAACTGCCCCACCGGGTTTCCAAGGTTGTAATCTTCGCAGAAGCAGACTGCCACATTTTCTCCCGAGGAGCGGCTGGTGAGTTCAACCACCGAACTTTCGGTTAGCTGACGAGTGCTTAATCACTGCGCCACCAGGGCTCCCATGCCCTACCAACTACCTTTCAGTTCAGCAAGGAGAATGACCTGCAACCTCCTCCTGAAAAAAATAAGTTTAAAGCAGAAGGTGTTTGGTTTTGGCAAAATGCAGGTCTACTTTTCAACTAGATTTTAGGTGAAACAATAATGATCCCAAGTAAGGAGAGGCTGCTTACCTTTACAGTGACTTCATGTGTAGACCTCTGGGCGATGAACTTTCCAGCATCCGATCACATAAACTGCAAAGCACCTTCCTAGTGAGAAATGGGGAGATTTTTTTTTTAAACTTAAAAATCTTCATCTCTTACCTCTCCCATTCTTCTATGTTTTTTCTTTGAAAATCAACTGCATCCAAGTCTAACATAACATATTTTACTGGTTCATAATTTTCCTTAGTCCTCTTCAAACACAGACTATGGGGGAGGGGAGGTTTGGTTTGCAATGTTAAAAAAAAAGACAAATGAAAATAGCCAGTCAGGTATCATTTATCCATGCAGAAACTCAGAATAGATAAAATTCATATTAGCTCAGATTTTGCTACTGCTATAGAATACATCAGAGCCCTGGTGGTTCAGAGGTTAAGAGCTTGGCTGCTAACTGAAAGGTCAGCAGTATGAATCCACCAGCTGCTCCTTGGAAACCCTATGGGGCAGTTCTATTCTGTCCTATAGGGTCGCTATGAGTCGGAATTGACTTGATGGCAATGAGTTTATTGCATATACCACAGACTCCCAAATCAGTCTTATAAGAAATGTAACCAGAATGCTTCTTAGAAGCAAGGATGGCAAGACTTTGTCTTGCTTACTTTGGATACATCATCAGGAAAGACCAATCGCTAGAAAAGGACATTATGTTTGATAGCGAGTCAGCAAAAGGAGGGAAACCCTCAGTGAGATGGACTGACACAGTAGCCACCAACAATGGACTCAAACATACCAACAATCGTGAAGATGATGCAGGACCGTCCATCATACATACGGTCACCACGCATCAGAGCCCTAAGAGCCAACTCAATGGCAATTAACAACATGATATAATGATAAATTAATGCCCATGTTAGGCATATATATCTTAGGGACTGTGTCTTAGGCAACAGGCTTGATAAACTAAACTGTATACACCCTCAGGAGAAGGAAACATGTTTTAGAGAAACTTTACACATCATTTGAGCTAAAATTTACAATAGCAACGACATTCCTATTTGTGTGTATATATTTATCCTCACGTACGCTGTGCTCTTAAGGATACAGACACTTTCAAGTCTTTTTGTCTTTGACTCTCCTACAATAAGGTAAAACAAATGCACGACTAATGAGTCTCAACTTTTCAATTAGTTATTGTTCTCACGTTTCCCTCTCATAGGAGTTCTATTTGCATTGGATCTGGAAGAATTTAGGTTTGTATCTCATTAAAAGGTCATTCTTTTTTTTTTTTTTGGTAAAAATACATCACTCACAGACACGAAGCACCGTCTAAGCAATGAGTCCCCTCATTCTTCAGTCACTATAAACTCCCGTCAGTCAACCAGCAGTTACTTCACGACGTTTACCTTCTGCCTTATAAAATTTCCCTGCTTGTCAATGAATCCAGCCTCCCAGAGGGCTTACATGACCCACTATCATCTACAAAAGGAAATTAAGAGCCCACCACTTTCTCTAAAGTCTTATTCAATAGTCTTAAGTGATAGGGAACAGGGTGCCAGGTTTAAGATGACTCTAATCACAAGCCAAATGCTGAGTGAGGGTGTTTCTCATTAGTGAATTTACACGGGACCACATGAAGTGTATTAAGAAGATTCCAGTAAATGATTCCCACTGGGCTATGTTTACAGCTTGGCTGTTTAAGGAAAGGAGATAAAAGGATTTCTCCAGGCAGTCCACAGGCCCTTCAGGTTCACTATGGACCGTTTTTTTACAAAAACCGTAAGGATATACAAGACAAAAGTAATAACCTGGCCTTACTTGGCCTTCTTTTCCACCCACCTCTGACACTGAAGAAAAGTAGGGCTAAATAATGAAATTTAAACAAAATCCATCTACAACTCTGAACAGAAGTTAAAGGGCAACAGTGTGTGTCAGGCACAAGGAAATATTGATTTTTCCCTATAAAATGAAAAAACATATAATTATTTAAAAAAAAATCTGGAGTGGAGATGAATCAGGAATTATATTAAGCTGAAACCAAAAGCAAATTACTGTTTTCAGGATTAGGTTGTAAATTACTAGGGGGAAAAATAGCCTTACAATGGAATTGCTAAATACCATCAAGTATCAAAATATGAACAGATGTCACTACAATAAGCCCCAAACTGCCTGTAAATGAAAACATTAAAATCCATAATAATTCAGTAAGTAATTAATATACAAACAGCTCTTATTACAAGCTGTTCAAGAAAAAGCTTTAAAATCAAATTCCTATTCTTTGGTCCAAAACAGATGCTAACTCACAAATTAGAATCTTGAAATGGAAGATTATCTTTTATATATGTTGCTACACTCAGTAAGTGAAATCATCTTATCATCTGTGTGTGATCAACTCAAAAACTGGGAAATCTGCTTAATAACATTATTCTGAATATGAAACATGACAAAACTAATCAGCCTACTGCTAGAAACAATAAATTAAAATCAGAAATCAGATCTTCTGAAGCCAGTACCTGGAAAATTACTGGTTTTCCCATTATTAGTACCCGTACAGAACTATTATCAATAAAAAGTGGTAGCAAGAAATTTTACATATTCCAAAATATTTCTGTGAAGTGCAATTGATTTTAACAAAGACAATGCTTTATTTATTTATTCTCCCCCCTCTCCCTTAAAAGTAAATGCTGAGGACTTGGTAAGTACAAAAAGGACTCAAATTTTCTGGCTAGTCTCTGATTTTGGCATGGTACAGCTCGGTGTCCATGGGTACAGGCAGTCCTTCTGCACAGCACGTTTAAAAACCCTTGAAGAGCGTCTCTGAGCTGATATAAGCTAGCATCTACTTGCTTTTCCCTAGAAAGTGGGTTAGAATAGAGCTTGTAGTGCCACACACATTTTTTAAAAGAATTAAAACACTACAATCAAGTCAACTACATAGTATTTAGAAACCGCTAATTTTGGTGGAGTTCTTGCCTCCCATGTAGGAGGCCCAGGTTCGATTCCTGACCAATGCACCTCACATGCAGCCACCACCCATCTGTAAATGGAGGCTTGCAGACCAAGATGGACTAGCAGAAAGGCCTGGCGGTCTACTTCTGACAATCAGCCAATGAAAACGCTATGGATTACAACCATCAGATCCACAACCGATTCTGGGGATGGCACAGGACGGAGCACGGTTTCATTCTGTCGTGCATGGCGTCGTCATGAGTCGGGGGCCAACAACAAATACCCTCCCTCAATCCAATTATCTTTATCTTTTAGCCACATAACCAAACGTAAGCCTCCAGATGTTCCACTAGTAAGGTCCTGCTGATGGTTTATGTACAGACATGAGCAGTGACTCTGGGTCTTGCCTTTTAAACACTGAGCGGACATTATGCTGAGAGCCAGCTGCGACCCCTGGGAATGCCAGAATAACAAGAAAAAAGGAACTGGATCCCCCGAAGACCCTGGGGATTTGCTGCCTACCCTTCACGGACCACTGCTGGCCTCTGGATATCACATGAGAAAGATTACATTCTCTGCTGGAGCATAGTATTTTTTTTCCTTCTTATTGTGCTTTAAGTGAACGTTTACAGTTCAAGTTAGTCTCTCACACAAAAATTTACACATACATTATGTGACCCTAACTGCTCACCCCATACTGTGACAGCACACTCCTCCTTTCCACTCCTGATTCCCCATGTCCATTCAACCAGCTCCTAAGCCTCTCTGCCTTCTCATCTCACCCCCGGACAGAAGCTGCCCATTCAGTCTCTTGTATCTACTTGAGCTAAGAGGCACACTCCTCATGAGCATCACTTTATGCCCCACAGTCCAGTCCAATCTCTGTCTAAAGAGTTGGCCTCAGAAATTGTTTTAGTTCTGGGCTGATAGAGAACCCAGGGGCCATGCTTTCTGGAGTTCCTCCAGTCTCAGTCAGACCATTAAGTCTGGTATTTTTACTAGAATTTGAGTTCTGCACCCCACCTTTCTCCTGCTCCATCAGGGACTCTCTGTTGTGTTCCCTGTCAGGGCGGTCATTGGTGGTAGCCGGGCACCACCTAGTTCTTCTGGTCTCAGGCTGATGGAGTTTCTGGTTTAGGGGGCCCTTTTCTGTCTCTTGGGCTAGTATCTTCCTTGTGTCTTTGGTGTTCCTCATTCTCCTTTGTGGAGCACAGTATTTTGGATACTTAATCTATCCCCTAACTAGAATACAGCATCACTGGAGGAATGACCCCTTTCCCAATCCTTTCTTCCTTACTGTAACCCTGTACCCTGAGATTCCCTCCATGATGCACCCATAACATGATTATGCTTTTTCGTCCCTAGGAGCAAGAAGACCTGCAATGAGATGTACTGACACAGTGGCTGCAACAATGGGATCAAACACAGCAATGACTGGGAGGATGGCACAGGACCAGGCAGTGTTTTGCTCTGTTGTGCACAGGGTCACTATGAGCTGGAACTGGATTGATGGCATCTAACAACAAAGCAAGAAGAGAAGGTCCCTGGCGATTTGAACCCGCCCAGCGGTACCACAGAAGAAGGGCCTGGCAATCTGCTTCCATTAAGATTACAGCCAAGAAAACCCTATAGGGCAGTTCCACTCTGTAACACATGCGGTTGCCATGATTCAGAATCAATTGGATGGCAATAAAGTTGTGGTTTTGTTGGCAGGAAGAAGACTTATCTTCCTCGATCTGATCAACACTATTTACTTCTAGGCTTGACAGATGGCGTATAGGCTTAATAAATGTTAGCATGATGAATAAATTTGAGAATGATTCACGCACCATCTATATGTCCATCAATAAATCATACAGTAACTGATTACATACTTACCATAGTGGATTTCAACAATCTCTCTACCCAGTTCACTCCTTCATGTCTGCCTTATTTTTATTGCAAACTCTCAGAAAGAAATGTAACATTTTCAGACAGATACTGGAATTCAGAAGGATTTTGCTGGCGTTATTTTTACTGGCATCTTCGAGAACACAGACCATCAAGGGATAAATTAAGGTTTTCTTGTTAGAAGACTGTTCTCTCACAGAAATATACAAGCAACGCACAGGGTTTTTTTTAGGCTTGGGAAGCTTGAACTCTAAAGATGACAGCACTAGACT